GTAGGAGTATTAGTAGATGCTACGAGGCCGTCTTAGCTTTTTTCGGCTTCTTAGGCGACTCGCCGTCCTCCTCGCCCTTGCGTTTCTTCCCCTTTGTCTTTTTGCCGTCCCCTTTGTCCTTTTTGTCCTTTGAGGATTTTTGTGGGGTGTCAGGAACAAGGACTTCAGGCTCAACCTCCATTGGGGTGCTCGCACGACCCGCGTCCCCGCCACCTCCATCCGCAGCGCCATAAGGCACAAATCGATGGGTCAACAATTCTATAGGGTGCGATTCCCTGGGCGGGTTTTTGTACACGGGCCGTTCATTCGGCGAAGTAGCGTTTGAGGGATCGGGTGTCGGCTTCGCCCCTTGGGCAGCCACGACAATTGTCCGCGCAATGGGCGTCGGTGCTGTACCACGCCAGTCAGCACTTGCAAAAAAATAAAACATGGAAAATAAACATAAAACATACCAGCATACAGCCTCCCCTTCTTGCTTTTCCGGGGCACCAGACACGAAAGGCCCTTGATTTCCTCGCCGCCGATGGGCATCTCCTCCGGCGCGTCGTCGCCCACGGACCAGATATCATACGCGACGAGCTTGCGTTGCAGCATTCCCATTTTCGCGCTCTTCTTGCTGTCGCGCCGTGCCGCTGCGGGGAGCTCCACCTGCGCCGACTCGAGGTAGCGCGGCTTTACCTGCACCCCCACACGAATATTTAATTACTTTTCTCTAACAAAGAGCGGGATCGGAGGAAACGCACGCCGTCGGGAATGCGCACGAGCCACAGCTCGAGATCGGGGTTGCCGTTCAGCGCGTCCCAGTCAAATTCGCCCACGTCCGCGGACTCTTCCAGACGCTCGGTTTTCTTCGGGGGTACGTATGCCCAGTGTGGGTCCTCGCCCTCATTTCTGCCTTTTTCTTGTGCGCTGCTCTTCGCCTTTGCTTTTTCAGCGGCTTTGGATTTGCTAGTTTTGGCGGGGCGGATTTCGGGCTCGGGTGAGGCAGAACCTGAGCCTGAGGAGGATGCAGAGGAAGAACCCGACGCCATGGAAGTGAGGAAAACTTAAACGGGGTTGTTTGGCTAATCGCGGTGTTGGCTTCGGAAATAAACAACCGCTTTAAGACTTCTCATCATGAACCCGTCGACCCGGTCTCAATCCACACAGTTGCTTTGGCCGCGCTAGCCTTTCAATCTCCCGCTCTGTGGCCGTAAATTCAGCGAAATTTATTCTGGAGAACGATCTTTAGGACCTTTCACTCGCGGGTACGGGGAAGCCTATTATACGACTGGTTGCCGACTTTACTCTCTGGACCCCACTGATCAGCAATCCCTGATTTTTCACATAGTACTCCAGAGCACTACATAGCACTACAGAGCAACTAACCTTCACTACAGCCACTACAGCCACTATAGTCCACTATGGGCCACTCTGTAGCACTACATAGTGGTCCATAGTGCTAAAAAAAACAGGGTTTGCTGATGCAGTACAAGGACAGTGTGAATCATCCGTGATCTCAAATCTGTCAGATTGCTCGACGGAGCTTCTATGAAGGTCTCTTAGTAGCTCCTGGTAGATACGGATGCTTTTCAACATGATTACCCATCCAGCCTCAGCCCTAGCCACAATGGCTCAGGGTTTCTCTGTCGAATATTTCAGTCCCGATGCCTGAATTCGTTCTTGAGCAACTGAACGCTCACGGCATGTGGTCAAGCATGGGTCGATAGTTCCGTTTTGGCAGAACCCATCGGTTGGGTTAACCGCCCAACAAGTGTCGCAGAATTTCAAACATTGCTAAAGAGTCTCGGTAAGTGTCAATCCAATAGATACAACGAACAAAATGACGAACAGCAGCAGTTCCCAGGGCGAAACACTTGGCGTGGACGCTGCCAGCGGAAGCGAGGATTATCGCGATCCGAAGAACATGAAGCTAGCGCGCATGATTGGTTTGCATGATGGTGTCTTTGGAGTGTGAATGAATTGTGATAGGGAACCCCTCCTTTAATACTAGTTCAGAGCACTGATTATACGGCAGTCAGTTTAGCTTTCCCAAACACAGCCGTGGTTGTTCGTTTTCAAATACAGGTATCTTGGCGAATGAATTGAGAAGACTCCCTAACGTCGGAGAGAGTAGACATGGTATTGATTTCAATCTTCGACCTATGATCGCCAATAGCCTACAGCTACAAATACCGCCGTTCTTGGGCTATCTAAGATTTACTCCTCTCTCTACCTATGGCTGTCCTTTTCTGGATTAAATGCCTCGAATTTCAGCGACGATTTTTTTTTCGAACCAGGCATATGGCACTCAGGGTCCGAAAGATGGGTATCAGTTTCACAGGTCTCTCCAGTGTTATCAAGAGTCGCCAAATTGTGCCTAGCCGCACTCAAAGACGTCTTTATGCATCGACCTTTTCGCTCGCGGTTCCACAGCATAGCACGGCTTCTTCAGACGTCGACCCGAAATGTCATGGCTCAGCCGTGCGGAGCATTGCAAGAACACCTGTGCTATGATCTCAAATCTGTCGGATTGCTCGAGCCGCTAAAGTTTTCAAAAAGACGTTGGACTCCTATTCGCTCCTGGTAAATGCGAATCTACTCTCAATCGAACGGCCACCCGGCCACAATGGCTCAGAGTTGCCCTGCCGAATATATTAGCCCGGTGCCTTAAATTCGTTCTTGAGCGCCACTCACGGCAATCGCTGAAGCATGGGTTGATACTTCCGTTCAGGCATGAGTCATCGCCTGGGTTAGCAGCACAGCAGGTCTCGCAGAATTTCGTGCATTGCTGAAGTGACTCGGTCAGTGAATTCAATACATCCAACGAGCAGAACGACGAACAGCAGCAGTTCCCAAAGCGAAGCAGACCTGACCACGGACGCTGACAGCGGAGGCGAGGATCATCGCGATCCCGATGAACATGAAGTTGGCACGCATTATCGGATAGTGCTTTGGGAGGGAACTTGGTTGGATGGTGGATGATTTGTTGTACGGATTCCCGCTCCTTTAATACTCGCTTCAGAGCACTGATTATCCGGCAGACATTTTATCTTTCCCAAGTACAGTCGTGTTTGTTCGTTTTCAAATACAGGTGTGTTTGGCCAATGAATTGAGAAGACTCCCTAACGTCAAAGAGAGTAGACATGGTATTGATTTCAACCACCAACCTCTGGCCGCCGAAAAAAATTAGTTCCGAATACCGCCGTTCGTCGGCCATCTGGGATTTCCTTTCTCTCGGCCTATAGACTAACCTTTTCCAGTTCGAATGGAAGACTCTAATTTCAGCTTGGCTGCGAAACCTAGAATGACTTCGGCATTGTCCGAAAGACGTAGATGAGTACCAGTTTTCACACTTGACTCTCTGCGATTTCCTGCCAGGTACCCCCACAGCCTTTGTCTGAATAATTTCTAATTGTTCCGTCCCCAACACAAAAAAGTACTTCCTAACGGTGAACGAAAGGCACTGGCAATTTCGGGTTTTCCGACTCTCAATCTCCAGTAAGTTACAACCCCGTCTGAGCGCTTACTGCTGGATATCAGCAAGTACCCTGAGCACCTATTGATTGGCTTACTACAGCTGACAAAGCACGGCTCACTATTTCCATTCGCGCATTCAGGATCGGTGGGAATGGCTTGACAGTATGCCCCCACAGAATGCCGCGCATGGCTGCCCTTCGGCAAGTGTCCATTTAAATACTGCAAACCAGAGGTAACAAACTGTGTGCGTTCCACCGCGGATACAGACCGAGCCAAAGACGCCTATAGCCGCGGTGGTGAGGAACGCGATTCCGATAAACATAAGATTGGTCCGCATTGTTGCTCTCGCGGTGTATGTGGGTAACTGAATTGGTGGGACGACTACAGGCTTCAGATATATATGATTAGTCATCGGACTACAATTGGCGTGTCGCCTGTGGTGTCATGTTCTTGGTTGATAGATTTCACCTTCCCTTTCGATTCCCACGGTTCAACTTTACCGTTGCTCCCACCATTTTTAAACGGGAACCCACTGAACTATACCGATAATTTAATCGACAACTTGCGGTTTCAAAACTCGCATAAAAACAGTTGTGGAGAAAGGACTTTTGGAATATGCTTACATTTGCCTGCTACTTGCTAAGCGACTATTCTGATACGTGGGAGCTGGAAAGTTGTGAAGACGACGGGAAAATAGCACAACTGGGTACTTCTGTTGCGGTGAAGTACTTCAGTTGTTTCTCAAGTTACTCAGATGTTATCTATGAGCTATTACCAGCAATTACTCCCGAAGTGCAAAAAACGAGTGCCAATTTTGCGGACCACTTATATTTGACAATCGAAGCTTGGTTCTGACATTGATCATAGGCTGTCAAAGGATACCACACTGCGCGAACCGCCTGTGATCCCCACGACTCGGAGGCACTCTTCACATTGTTACGTTTTGGTAACCGTCATCAACCCCAAATCACCCTGCCCTGCGTTGATAATTTATCTGGTTGGCCCGAGCTTATTCTAAGAGTCTCTCTTCTAGGAAAATGATACCAGTTACGACCGAGGCTCTTCAGGGTTGACGAGAATCGACAATAGTGCTCGCTTTGGTGCTCGCGTCAATCGACACTTTTCAACATCCCCGAGATCACCGAACATCAACGGAGTATTGCAACATGAACGTGCCTTGCTTCTAAGCCTACATCCTTGAATTGATTGTACCCTGTACCGGCATTCACGATGAGATTATTTAATCATACAATATCCATTGTACCTCGTGTGTTGTACCTTGAATTCAGGTAAGCAGCACGCTGTACACCATGTTCAGGAGTAAATTGGAATCATGGCCTGGTGCGGTAAGATGCCCTTTGAATGTGCACATGTGTCGGATTCTATTCATAAGGAGTCCCTTGTTTAAACTGACACCAGGCTATTATTTTTCTTTCTGGTCTACTTACTCTCCTGGAAACTTCTGAGGCCCAACTTTCACAGTGCTCCTTGGCAAGCATGTCAGAACCCTAGGTAAGCTAAAATCAACATTAGGTAAACATGGTCTGGTGGTGTAGTTGTAACACACTCTTCAGTGATGCTAACTGTCTTTTCGGGAGTCCCTTGTTCAAATCAAGGCCAGGCCTTTGTCTTGTTCCGTTTGTTTCTTCTTTGTTTTTGATGCTCATCGAACTGTGAGACGAATAGGCTTCAACCTATTCCATTCAGGTCGGTTGAGAGTGTTGTATGATTTATTTATTGGACCGCAAACGAAAGCTCAGCGTGGAGCGCTCGCTACTACAAGTACAGAAATGAGGACCTTCACTATCTCCTCACCGTCTTGTGCACATCATCCACCGTCCACGCCGCCAGGAGTACAAAATGGACCCCCGGTGGTTCGCATCCATATCCATCGTCACCGCAATCGGGAGCGACGCGCTCCACGGCTGTGAGCTACAGCGCGGGTCTTTGTCCTTGTGGACACGGCGCCACTGCCGGGGAATGGACGGGTGGCGGGTTGTGACCCGGGCGGAAGGCATCCGAATCCGCAAAGTGCTGCTAGAGCCGCACGGTCTTTCCCGTCTCCGTCCTCTGCCTCGGGACAGGACACGAAACGGTGGACGTCGCTTTGCCAGCTGCTGCTGTAGTACTAACCCGCACCATTGTCAATGGTCATAACTATCTCAACCCGAGTCCCGCCACTCGTTGGCAGTACGGTAGCCAACTGCACCGTTGAAACCCTCGGCGCATTGCACAACGACTTCACTACCCTACCGCTGTGAGAGTGAGAACTTGTCGTCCCAATTTATTTGGATATAAGGACGATTAACCACGTTTTGAGTTACTCGCCCTCCATAATATGGCTCCATTGCGCACTGCTCAGATTCTGATGGATCCTTAGGGCTGGCCGCCCGCCGCAGCTGGGGACGGTCTTCCATCTCTGCGAGAAATGAATCAACTGGCCAGGTTTCTGGACCGCCGGAAGCAGAATCGTTGTTTGGGCGTATCCAATGATGACAGCTTTTGGATGCTCTCCTCATCGGCTCATTCTCGAACCAATTGGCCTTAGGTCGTTTCAATGCTGTTCTGTTTCCAGTCCCTCAAAAGCCTTACATCCTGCTGATTTTTGACTCTAAATTTTTGCCGTCCAGCCGGAGGTAGTCGCATGGCGCTGAGTAAAGCGGTGCACGCTTCTTGTCCTCACATCAGGAAATTGTTGACCAACAGATCTGGCCGGATCTGGCCGTATGATCGTGATCCGCCTCATGAGATAAGATGCTGCTGACCGGTCCGCTGACGCGCCCGGGCAACCGGCAGATCGCCGCTTGTTTTTTTCGCCCGCGCGGATGAGTTGCCGTCCGCGCGGATGAGCTGGCCGTCGAGCGGGGCATTTTGGCCCTATATTACCCTGCTCCGCCTCCCTTCCGCTCCTCCCCGGGCTTTTAAATCATACCATAGAGAAAAGGTAACAATATATTCATTCATCCATCTACCTACACACCTTGCGCCACTTCATCTCTTCATCTCGGTAGCTCGAGGCCTCCTGCAGCAGACTATGTGCCAAGGATGACACAGGGCAGTCGATTGCTTGTGAGGGCTTGCGAAGAGAACTTGAGGCGGACTTGAACTTAAAATCTCGAGTCTTGAAGGCGCGAGAAACCAGCGGCAAGATAGTTCTTGATCAAAGATGACGAGAATTGATGTGGCTTGAGGACGAGAGCTTGAAGGGGCCAATGTCTTGAGGAATACGTCTTGAGGAGTTGTCATATCTTGCATTTGAGTTTCAAATCCTTCCGAGAGATTTGAGGTGAGACTTGAGCCGCAAACTTGCTGAAACAGTGATTCGGTCAAAACCAAGGACTTGAGGCTGCGTCGGGATTGAAGGCCGATTGAAGGGGTCAAGCAATGAGGATTTGGAGGGATCTGGGCGGCGCGATAGGCGGAGGGGGAATGAGGGAGGAAGGGATGCAGTGGGGTTTGAGAGAGAGAAGCGATCAACAACCATCAAATGATCAACCAACATGTAGATGCGCACGGACCGCCCACGTGCAACACACCCATCAACCGACGTGTCTGCGCGCAGTGAGGATCCGTTACCAGTGAACACACTATAGAACACATTGTAGGGTCTTTCAGGCATCAGAATGCGTACCATAATCGGGAGGCAGAGAAGTTTTGATTTGAGCTCGGCCGCAATCTTCATGGTAACATCGCGAACATTGCTAGTGGTGCATTCGTGAGGCTTGAGCTACGTACGCTCAGACAAAGAAATCATGTCAATTGAATAACTATATAACTGTAGGATGCGGTAGCACGCCGGGTACTCCACCCATCTGCCCGTACACTCACATCCCAGACTGTTCTCTGCCGTACATTTTTCATACGAGACTCCTCGACCACCTGTACACCTGCACGATTCTGGCAGCCAACTCATGACAGCGGATGAGCGCTCATCTGACCGCGCCAGATCAATATCAGCGGGACATCAAATCATGATGCCCACCCGCCAACATCCGGCGACTGACAATTTCCTGATGCAACCATGTCTGCCGCTGGGCGCCTCATTCCGGATCTCCTTAGCGAAATAATGTTTCGCTTGCCCTGGGACATTGAAGAAAAGTTTGCGTTTGCCCAGGTGTCACGGCTCTGGCGTGATCTCGCCCTCAACAGTCCTCTTTTCTGGTCATCCTTCGCGGGAAGAGATGACTATCGAGGAGTATCCGAAGCGGATTGCTATCGGTTACCGCTCCTCTTGGAACGCTGCGGCTCAAGCACCATGCTGCATATCCGTTTTCTTTTAACCCAAACAACAGACCTATTGAAGGTGTTGGTGCCATATGCGGCTCGCATTGAAACCCTTGATGTGGAGTTCAGGGAAGGGGGCGACGTCGAGCCACTGCTCGGCTCCAATTTGGAGTTTCCTGCTCTTAAAATACTTCGTTTGGAAGGCCCAGAATGGGGCAGAGCTGCACTGTTATCGTTAACAGCGCCTCAGCTGCGAACTCTCGACATCCAGCACCTCGACCCGATAAACTGGGGCTCATTGTTATCGCCCACCTTAGAAAATATTCGACTCTACCAAGCCGGGGATGCCAACGTGGAAACGCTCTCCGATATCTTCAAGCAATGTCCGCGGGCATGGCGTGTTGTGCTGCATGCCAACGGCTCTTGGGATAGCGACCGCACAGACCACGACTTCGACGTCTTTGCACGCCGGCCACTCGCGCCGGCTTTACGCGAGCTGGATTTGCGGCTGGCAGATTCCGATCTTGGTCCCGTACTCAAAGCCGGATTTTCGGACGTTGTCCTGCACACGTTGACCGGATGCATAGACAACGGGAACAGCGACGAGGACCTTGAACTTCTTACTGGTGCTTTATTGCCCGGTTTGGGGACTCTGGTCGGCTTCCAACTTCTTGAGTGGAACCAGATCGAGCTGCGCGACCAGAATGGACACATCCGTCGTTTACAGTGCTGGAATAACGACGCTTCGTTTGAGGTCCGAAATGTGTGGGGATATCTATCCACCCACTACGATCTCTGCAGAACCATCCGCGAAATACGAATGCGTCTTGCAGATTTGTATGAATACGTCAAGATCTTCCAGTTGTACCCTCCACAGCTTCAAGATGGAATCACGCTCGCCATCGAAACGGACTGGGACACATCTTTTTCACGGTACACCCACGATGAAGGAGACAGCGAGAAGGCAGCCAGAAAATTGCCGATCCCCGGGCTTGCCAGAGTCGGATTTTTTACCTCGAGGGACCGGTATTCGTCGGCTGACTCGATTTTTGAGGCCCTTGCGAATATCGAGCCAACAACGGCCCGTAAAGTGGAGGTCTGCATCGGTAACAACAAGCTACGGAAGAAAGATCAGGATGCTTTTGCTGCCTTCCGGACAGGAGTACAAGGGGACCATTGGGTTATCTGTAGCCATTGCTTTATTGGCTAGAAACATATAATCATATTGAAGTTTGTTCCCCAAGTCATCGGCGTTCGCAACAAGTCCAAATAAATAAACTCCTGTTCACTCCCAACCTCATGGCGGACACGCTCGAACCGATAGTGATTCCCCCGCTCAAAGTCGACAAGCATTTTACATGCTCGGGATCCGGCCTGCGGTACGAAGACGAAGAACGCGTCTCTGCGGAGAGTTTACGCACCTTACTTTTGCCGAGTGGCGGTCGAAATGGGATTGCCGATAGAGACAGGTACTCGCGTCTCCTCGCGCAGTCCCCATCTCCTTTTAACGCATTCAACCAGGTCAAAGGCGTGGTGGGGAGCGCAGGCCCTGTTTTACGGATTCAAATACACAAAGACAATGACGATCTCTCAGGTCCGCGCACAGCTCGAGGACGCGTTGCGGGACAAGAATAAAGGCCTCCGCGTTCCGCAAAGTATAATGGACTTGGAATACAAATACAACAAGGAATTCCGCGAACTGAATGCCGAGGTCCGCAATAAGGCGGGAATGGGGACAAAGAGGAAGCAAGAGGCAGACCCGGTCCTGCCGAAAGCCACCAAGTCCAAGTCGGCTGATGGCCCCAGCGTCAAAACAACAGCGAAGCCCTTCCCCGATGCCGTTCCCAGAAAGAAGCCGCGCATCAGGCAGACGGACTATGTGTCTGTCCCAGCAGAATTACCGAAACCGCGCATCAGGCAGACGGACTATGTGTCTGTCCCAGCAGAATTACCGAAACCGCGCACGAAGCAGACCGCCAAGAAGGCCACTGGAGTCCAACAAATGGACTGGATGGAGGTGGATATGAATCCGCAGCCGTCGGACGCGCCAAAACCGCGCACGAAGCAGACGGCGAGAAAGACAACTCAGCCCGGTGGTGCCCAGTCGATTGACATAGATGTGAAACCTCGCACGAAGCAAACGGCGAAAAAGACAACCCAGTCTACTGGTGACCAGCCGATTGACGTAGATGTGAAACCTCGAACCAAGCAAACAGGGAGAAAGACCGTCAAGTTGGAAGACGACTTTGACGACCTTGTGGAGCCGCATGCCCCGGGCACCAAAACGACCGCCCGTTGGACCGAGCCTGTCCCTGCTGATGCAGTCGCGTCGTCGTCCTCAGTGCCCGCCCCTGCTGGGCGACCGAAGCAGACCGCAAGGCGCGGAAAGCCTTTCCCGGCC